GCACTATAGTGTTGGTGGTTTTTAGCTCTTCAAGATCTTTCTTGAGCTTTTCATTATCATGTTTGAGCTTGACATACTCATCATAGTTGTCGATTTCAACCACTTGCTTGCCTTTGCTACTAGATCCTTGCTCAATGCTCTCAACAATTAAATCATCACATGATGTAGCTATATCAATCTTAACAACATCGTTAGTAGCATCATGTGGCTCATTGGATAAAAATTCTTGAGCAATAATAAGATTATCATGATTTATCTTGAGAGTTGTATATTATTCTTTTAGGATATTGTGGCTAGTGATGAGCTCTTTATGTATTCCCTCAAGTTTATCATGTTTATCTTTAAACTCTTTCTTAGAAGATTTGAGTTCCTTCAGTTTGGATGACATAGCTTCATTTACTTCCCTAAGCTCCATACTAGCATTTTCCGCTATATCACATTTAGCTAAAAGAGAATTATTCTTAGCTTCTAGCTTTTCATTCTTAGCTCTAGTCTTTCTAATGATCTTAGTGTATTGATTTAGCAATTTAACAAGATCATCATAAGAAGGTGATTCATATTCATATTCATCATCATCATCACTATCACTATCACTATCATCATTGTTGGCATGATCATCACTACTACTATCATCATTATTTGATACCTTGCGTTCACCATTGGCCATAAGGCATAGGTGTGTAGAGGATGATCACGGTGGTGTTGGTGAAGATGATGAGGAGTCAATCATAATTGCGGCCACCTTCTCATTATCACTATCATCATCGGATGAGCAACTTGATGAATCAATATCCGTGAGCCAATCACCGACGATGTATGCCTTCCCATTTTTCTTCTTCTTATGGAAGTCCTTCTTCTTGCCATTTTTCTTCTTGTATGGCTTGTTTTTCTTCTTTTCGTCTTCATCACTTGAGTCATCTTTCTTGCCCTTGTTTTTATTCTTGTACTTGTCTTTCTTGGGCTTTGTGCATTGATGTGCTAGATGACTAAGTTCTCTATAATTGTAGCAATCCATCTCCGAGATTGGCTTCCTTCTAGAGCTAGTGAAGAACTTCTTTTTCTTGCCATCGAACTTGATGCCACTCTTGTTGAGCTTCTTTAGCATCTTGGCGGTTCTTCTCACCATGAGAGCAAGACTTGCATCATCAACTTCATCATCACTTGAGCTCTCATACTCAATTCTTGCTTTGCCCTTCTCTTGGCTAGCTTTGAATGCTAAGTCTTTGTCTTTTTTGTTGGTAGAGGATGAGCCATCTTGTGGTGTGATGTGCATATACATCTCATGAGCATTGATCTTTCCCAAGATTTATGTTGGTGTAGCGGTGGAAAAATCACCTTGATGAAGCACGGTCACAATATGCCCATATTTGTCAATGGGGAGGACACTCAAGATTTTTCTTATAACGTCGGATAGTTGCATTTGAGTAAGTCCAAGCCCATTGACTTCCTCTACAAGAACATTCAAGCGTGAATACATTTCATTAGCACCCTCTTTAGGAAGCATCTCAAATGAATTTATCTTTTTTATGACAAGATGATAGGGTTCCTCACGCTCGCTCTTAGTTCCCTCATGGAGTGCACAAATGTCCGACCATAGTGCATGGGCGTCCTTGTGGTTCCTCACTCGGTTAAACACATCTTTATAAAGGCCTCTAAATATGGTGTTTCTAGCCTTTGCATTCCATTTTTCGTAATTCACCTCATCGCCTTGTAGGTGTGTGGCATCCCGAGGTTTTGGGAAACCTTGTGAGGCGGCTCTAAGTATTCCAACATCTAGAGCTTCTAAATACGCCTCCATGCGGATTTTCCAATATGGAAAAAAATCCCCTCAAAGATAGGAGGAGGACCATCCCCATGAGGCATCTTTCTCTAGACAGTTAAGTCTAAATACGTGAGCACAAGGCTCTAATACCAATTGAAAGGATCAAGATGCCCAAGAGCGGGGGGTGAATTGGGCTAATTCTAAAATTCTTTGCAATAATTAAATCCTACACTTAGCCCACTTCACCCCTTGTGCCTAGAAAGTGTTTCTAATGTTCTACAGCACAAAAGTTTAGCACCCTAAGTTTCAATCCTACTCTAGCATGGCAATTCTAAGTATGTAAAGACAAGAATTGAATTGCTCAAATGTAAATGCTTAAAGTAAAGAGAGAAGGAGGAACGCGGTGATGTTTTGCCGAGGTATCGGAGAGTCGCCACTCCCCACTAGTCCTTGTTGGAGCACCCGCGCAAGGGTGTAGCTCCCCTTTGATCCGCGCAAGGATCAAGTGCTCTCTATAGGTTGATTCTTTGACACTCTGTCATGGTGAATCACCCACAACCGCTCACAACTTGAGTTGGGTCATCCACAAGCTCCGCCGGATAATCACCAAGCTCCCAATCACAACCAAGCCATCTAGGTGATGACGATCACCAAGAGTAACAAGCACGAACTCTCACTTGACCACGACAAGCCTAATGAGAAGGGTGGATGCACACTTTGCTACTCTTGCTTTCACTAATGAGGTCTCTCTCTTGGATTCTCAAATCTCAATCACCTCACTAGGACCTTGCTCTTCTTGGCACTCTCAAGGGTGTTTCTCAGTTGTTGGAATGAGCAAAAGTGATCCCTTGAGTGAATAGAGGAAATATTTATAACCCCTCATTCAAAACGAACCGTTATGTGCCTCTGCGGGGTGACCGGACGCTCCGGTCAAGGTGATCGGACGCTCCGGTCAGTTCACCCGCCTCTGTGCAGTTTAAGTTATGACCGGACACTGGTCAGCACTAACCGAACGCGTCCGGTCACGAAAACTGCCCTCTGGAGCCTTACTGATGTTGACCGGACTCTAGCACCCAGCGTCTGGCTACTTTGCTGCTCAGCGTCCGGTCAGTAGCCGGAGCCTGACCAGCGTCCGGTCAGCACTGACCGGACACGTCCGATCAGGATTCTCCCTCTCTAGAACCTTACTGGAGTTGACCGGACTCTGCACCCAGCGTCCGGTCACTCACCTCTCAGCGTTCGGTTACTTCCAGACGACTTCACATTGATCAAATGAACTGACCGGACTCTACGCTAGCGTCCGGTCACACCGGAACCAGCGTTCGGTCAACATTTGACCCTCCATTCACTTTCAACTCGTAATCATATGTGAATGAAGTTTGCTCCAATTGATCTAAGGGCTATTTAGGAGCTACCTAGTGCTAGATTTGATAAGTGTGCATCACACCTAACCCACTAGACTCACCTATGTCAAGCTACCCATCCATACCCTCCTTAACAGTACGACCAAAGGAAAAACAAAGTCCTAAACTACTCTAAGTGTCTCTTCAACTCTAAACGACACTTAGAACTAGTCCATCATTAACCTTGTCGTCCATTCTTTGAAAACCGAAACGATTTTCATCGTAGGGTTACAACAACCATGATTGCCCAATCAATCTCCATTACCATGACCTAACTTAATTGCATCTGCAAAACACACGTTAGTCACAGTAATCTCGTATTGTCATTAATCACCAAAACCCCACTAGGGGCCTAGATGCTTTCATACCCCAATATTACCACTAGGGGAAAATACCAAGAATACTCATAACAAGAGAAACATTTGATCATAAATATTGACACCAATAGTAGTTGGATGGTACATGTTTCTGAAGTATCCATCTCTTGAATTACGAAAAATACCCAAAGTACTCCTAATACATGCTTCCAAATTACCTATATCTACCATTATGAAAAAGATTTGCATAAATTACGCTAAATGCATCCTTCTAAAATACGGAGCCACCCATTCCATTATAGGAAAATGATCAAAGAATCCCAAAGAGCCACTTGTAAATCATCACATCCACCATTATGAAAAACTATCCCAAACTACCAAATGCATCTTCTTATAAATTATCCAATATACCGTTCTAAAAATGTTTAAAATGTTGCTAATATATTGCATCATTGTATATATTTTTTTACCTAAGCATAGTTTTGGTCTTTCTCGCTCAATTATGTGGTGGACTTTGGATACCATACCATATATGGCCACATATAACAACGAATACACAAGTAAAATAAAATTTTGAGACAATGTTCAGTAGAGGTATACTCCCTCCGTCCCAAAATATGTGCACATTTGGCACTTCGAGAAATTAAATATTCTTAAGTTTGACTAGATTTTTAGAAAATAATATTAACATTTATATCTTTAAATATGTTTACTATGAAAATATATGATGTGATTCATTTAAAGATGTTTGTTTGGAGTCATAAATATTAATATTTTTTTGTATATATTTGGTCAAATTTAGAATTTGTTGACTCCACGAAATGTGAGATGTATATTTATTTTGGGACGAAGGGAGTATATTGTAATGAAATGTGATCAATATATGTATACATTATATTGTAGGCATTTCACAAAATTCTATATTTCTTGTATTTCTAAAAAAATATTTTTACCTCATACATGCATATTAGTTTATGGACTAGTAAACACTACTAAAAAATGTCATCACCGACAGTTTGTATCGACGGTGAAAACAATTTTCACCGTCGATTTTTCTCCCTATTATGACCAGCCGGTCTTTCGACCGACAGTGAAACTTATCACCGCCAGTTCTGTACGGACTGGTGGTGAAATTGCCGACGATGAAGACAGTTTATGTGGTAGTGAAACAAAGTCAAGCGCATATAAAAGTTTGATGGCTTGCTATCATGCTTGCAGCTATGATGTTCATGCTCACCTCTGTTCTTACTAAACACAATCACCACAAGCAATGCTTGCACGATCCATGGGGACCATTTTGTTCGTATGCTTAAGAAAAAAAGCCATTTTATCCGTATGATTGGTTAAGTATAACTATATAACTATCAATCCATGATAGCCTCAGCAACAGTATGTTATGCATCCCGACTAAACCATGACACCATGACCGGGCAAGAAATGCCAAAGCATTATTATTTATTAACTTGCAAAAAGGCAGAGGGAAAACAGAGCATGGTGGATGCAAAGTAGTGGAAGAGCATGGGGCCCTCGCCTTTGTCCCTGAACGGCCAATACCCTCTCCTCTCTCCCCTCGCCGCAGCCCGGCCTACAAATACCACCCCAGCTGAGCAACCACACCATACATGCTTGCAACAAAGCTTGTGTTGTGCAACAACAGCAGCCCAGACATCTACTAGCTCCAGAGTCAGGACTACTAGCCCAAGACCACACAAGTTCCAACACCAAGTGCTTCCAAATTCCGAGCTTCTCCTTGCGGCGCAGCAGTGTGCATGCTCTGCCCGCTTCTCTGATCTAAGGTAAGAAGCCTGACACGCTGGTTAAGTCAGTCGGTTACTCAAGACTCTTTGCAACAAGCGCGACTGCCAGTCATCTATCTGTTGCTCACGTCTCTTTACGATCGTGCCTCTTCACAGGGAGCAAGCGCGACTGCCACTTCACATCTTTCTCCAGGCGGCGAAGATGTCGGTGGCGGTGTGCCGTGGCCCAGCTGTTCCGGCCTTCGAGGCGCCCTGCTGGCTGCGCCCTGCCGAGCCGTACAAGCAGCCGGAGGTCGTCGTCGACGACCGGACTGCGCAGGTGGACATATGGAACGCCATCCAGGCCGACGTCGACAAGGTGGCGCCCGCCGGCGCTAAGAAGGCGTCCAAGCCGTACGTGCACCCGCTCGTGCGCCGGTCGTCGAGCCTGATGAGCCAGAAGAGCCTCGAGGTCTGCACGGAGAGCCTCGGCAACGAGACCGGCTCTGGCGACTTCACGTCGTCCCTGGACATGGCCAGCCTATTCGACTCGCCGCTGCCGGCGGCGGCGGCTGCCGCAGCACCGGAGGAGTCCTTCTGGCAGCACGACGCGGGTCGCTGCTGCGAGGAGGAGCAGTGGGAAAGCAAGGATCTCGCGGCGGTGAACTACCACTGCTCGGCCGGGACGCGGTCACCGCGCCGCTCGTTCCCGCCGCCGCTGCCGTCCATGTCGCGCAGCGACGGGCCGTGCCTGCAGATGCGCGCGCGCCGCCAGGACGGGCGCCTCGTGGTCGAGGCCGTGGCGGTGAGGCCGCGCGGGTACCTCCACGCGAAGCGCCAGGGCGGACGCCTCCGCCTCTCCTTCGTCGAGTGCTCTGCTCGCGACCAGAGCGCGGCGAGCAAGATCACCGAGGCCGCAGCAGAGGCGCCGTACTTCCGCACCGTGGAGCCCAGGAGCGTGCAGGAGGAAGAGGCGGCCGTGGAAATGGAGGAGGACGACGAGGTGATGGAGGAGGAGGAGGAGGAGGTGGAGGTGGTGGACAGGGGCACCGTCGTCGAGGTCAAGGTGAGCACGCAGCCGCAGACGCACACCGCGGCCAAGGTGCACCGCTCGACGCTCGTGATCAACAAGTTCGTCGGCAGCACGCCGGTGTCCGCTGACCAACCCCGGTGCCACACCGACGACACGACACAGCACGAGGCGGACACCTGCGACGAGGCGGCGACGGCACAGTCACCACGCCCGACCCTGCGCCGGGTGCCGTCGTCCACGACGACGCTGGCGGCCGCGGTCGCCGTGGCCTCGACGGGGACCGACGTCGACGTCCCGCCGGCTCCGGAGGACGACGACGAGTGCGGCGGGCTGCACCTTTCCGGTGCCTCCGCCGCGGCCGAGACCAAGCAGCTCCTGCTGTCGTTCTCGTCGCGGAGGGGGGACAAGCAGGACCTGCTGCAGAGCGTGCGGCGGTGCAGGCAGCTGCGGCAGAAGAAGCTCTTCATCCTGGAGCCCTACTGCATTGCCACCTCCTGAACAACAAAACCATCCATCACAGTCACAGCCACACTACACAGCTCGCGATGAATGCGACAGTTCGGTCGCGCGCGTCGCCATTGCTAGCCTTAAATTAATCACTAGCAAATCAAGCACGGTCCTGATTAGCCGATTATTATAATAACCCTTGTCCGTCGTCCGTCGTCGTTACACACACAGTGGCTGCTGCATGCTGGGCATTGTTACTTTTTTTTTTTGGCGACACATCTTTCCCATGTGCTGCTTGGTGTTTCACTTTTTGACTGCGCGTGCATCGTCTAGCAGTCGCCGTTTGGTCCCTTGCAGTGCAGTGGCCTCGTGCGTGCTGTAGTTGTTGTTGCTCTAGTAGTTTGTCCCCCCTGTATTTGTAGTGTGATTTGAGTAAGTAATTTATCAATGAATTAACAGATTTGCTGTTGTGAATCTACAATCTACTTATTTGGATGAGGCGTCCATCAGAGAGCTTGCCATTTTCAGACTCATGGCGACGGCGCCTTCGATTTCTACTGGTTTCCACCGAATCTTTGTGGACTTGTGGTGATGATAGGTTCCTGCATTACGCCTACTCTACTACTTGTGTGTTATATCGTGGAGAAGACGTACGTGCGTACCGAACAATTGTCGAAATGGGAAAAGGATGGGGATAAAAGGTAAGTGCCAGTGCCACTATAGAGTATAGGGTGTCTTGCTGCTTTGGTAACCCTAGATCGATCACGGAGAGTGGATAGAAGATATACGTGACGTTAAGTTGCTATATTCATCATACCAAAACGCACCGCGCTTCTTTGGTGAGATAATGGAAGCTGGCATGCATGTAGCAACACTAGAAGGAGCGACCGACCAATTTCTTACACGAGCGGCGATATGTTCTCATACACATAAAAAAAATCCAAACTAAATTACGCAAACATTCCAGTTTCTTTTTAGGGCAAGCCTCAGCCACTAGTGTTTAAGCACGCCGAACAACTTTATTCTACAAGCAATCATCGTCCTATTCCATTCAATCAACATTCAATTATATATGGGTTGAAGTGGTTGTATTTTACCTACATAGGCCCGGTAAAGAGCCTAAGAATTTGCCCTAAAAAATCAAGGGTTGGGTAAATAAAGGGCCAAGTTGAGTTTTGTATAGCTTTGTGAGCTAAAATAAAAATTAAGGACAATAATCTAAAAAAATAATTAAGGACCAAGTTGGATATGTGAAAGGGTATTAGGGAATAATCATCATAGCCATTACCACATCTAATCCAATAGGCCGTGCACCGGTATCACGAGTACCCTCATCAACAAGGCACGATCACCGAAGATCGCTAAGCCTTGGCTCGACTCGGTTCAGCCGGGCATGGGCACGAGCTTAGGCACTACACCCACTGAGTTCACTCACGTGTGGTGCCTAAAAGGGAACCAGCGCTTCAGGAAATTAGGCATATGTCAGGGCTAGAGAGAAATTTAATTTTGCTTGATAGAGATTGTGGTGATAAATATAGAAGGGTGCATAGCTACAAGTGGAGCCATGAAGTCTTTAGTTGCAAGGATACCCGTCTCTCTCTCTCTCTCTCTCTCTCTCTCTCTCTCTCTCTCTCTCTCTCTCTCTCTCTCGCAATGGATCTATGATGAGACTCGTCGGGAAGCTCTCATGAGCGGTGATGGCAACAATTCAAATAAGGTGTACATGGAGGTGTAAATTTGGTTATTGTAAAAAAACTTATAACAAAGCAAAACTGAAATACAAAAGACAAACTGAGTATATCGTTCGTCGTATGCCATCCTGAGTTCATACCTTTTTTTCTTCGAAAAGCACCGATAAAAATTTGCTGGTCATATATTAATAAAGAAGAGACAACATATACAACAACCCAATCACAACAATAAAACTCCCACAAGAAGGTAAACCATGGTTAGACAACTACTCCACAACAACGCACGGCAGGCAAAACCATCACAACACCAGCAAACAAAACCCCAGCCTACACGCCACAACAATAGGAATCCTCAATCCATACTAGGCAGCAGGCTTATCAAAAGGCGCCTCAGTTTGTGGCCCTTGTGATAGTTGGAAGAATAACAAGGTTGTTAAAAAAAAGAAAGAATCCTTGTCGACCAGCGGAAATGGAGCTGACGTACTGATTCGAGGGGATCGGGGGAGGCCAAGGAACCAGCTCACCCTGGTTGATCAAATGACTGAAGATCTCGTCTCCACGTCACATGTTTTGTGTACTCCCGCTTGCTGTCACGGCAACTTGCAGGGACTGTACTGCAGGGCTTCAGCTAGGCTCTGCATGCAAAAATGATTGGGCACCGGCTGGCCGCCGCCGCCGCGGCCTCCGACCGCCAGCCGTTTTGAGAGGTCAATGATGCGCCGCTGGCTAGGTGCCCTGCATGCATGGCTGTATTGGAACGCAAAATACAACGAGCAAATTGCACTGAACGATCGGATATGGCTTCACCGACACCTAGAAAATCTGATCACGTCTGTTCAAATATCCTGAGTCACCCATGAGCACTTTTTTTTTGGGGAAGGGAACTGAGCACTCTTTTTTTTTTTCCCCTCCCGCCTTCTGATCGGCGGGCGGTCCAGTCCTCCTAGTAGGTCTCATAGGTCGGCAACGCTACCAGCAGAGCCGCAGCACTCTTCTCGTCTTGGGAATGCGCCGTGTCTGAATGCTGAACCAGCAGCCTAGCGCTCCTTTGCCATATCAAAAATAGCAAGGCAAAGGGGTTCTCTCGTGATCTCTGCCTTCACATCACATCTGCGTCTTCGTCTACAAGGCTTTCATTTCATCTGAAAAAAGGGGAGAAATGCATGGTTCCTGACGAAGCATGATCGTGCATTATTCCTCTTCTCCAGTTCTCCTCCAAGGTTCAATCGATCGGCACAGGGATAAAGGACGGCATGAATGAAAAAGGTATATAAAGGAATAGGAGGTACCAACAGATGGTACGCGCGGGGAGATTTTGCATAGGTGTCTATTGCAGCGCGAACTGATGCTCATCCAGCCGAGAAGATTTTGTTCGTGGTCGACGAGGACACGGACGTACTGCTGCACCTGTCGCAATGGCATGCATTTTGCCAGACCACCGCACCACTAGGCACTAGGGACACATTTTTTCTGCTGGTAGTAAACCTGCAGTTAGAAATTCAAAATGCAGAGGTTTTAATTCATAAGTGATTTTAAAATGGAACCGCCATTGGTACGGAACTTTCCAATGCCGAGATATGATAATCTATCGAAAGCGAATTCAGTCATTTGGGCTGCTCTATATACAATTGCCGACCACTTATGACACTAATGGAGCTGATGGTCCAAAGACAAGTAGCAATCATGAGCTGACCAAACGTATAGTAGGCTAAATTCCTCGTGTTAGTGCTCAATATTTAGCCCAAAAGGACGAACCCTCTCATGATCATGAGGTCAAACTTAGTTCTCCATGCATGAGTGCATGACACTATATATGATTATATATTTCTCTGTCATTCAGTGGAGGTGTTTGGTTCTTTTACCTATGCCTGTAGACACTATTAGACGGAGTAGTAGTCTGTGTATGGATAACTCGCAAGATACTCCCCCCCGACCAAGGGACTCCACTATGTCTCCCCTTTCTTTTTTATAGGGCAAGCCTACAACATAAACATTGTTCCAATAAAAAAGTAGCAGCATGCAGCAGGGGCAGCACACAAGAAGAAAAATGACGAAAGTCATGGAGAGAGGTTTCTTTTTCAAAAGTCAACTGCATAAACAAGTGACCGGAAGGGATGCGTGCGTGGCCAATGGGCACAATTGCGTAGGAATTAAGGTAACGCCTCTTATCGGCTCACTTAGCAAGAGAATTTCTTCCCTAATGCAGTGTAAAAACAAAGATAAACAATATGCTGGGTTCATGATGATGTTGTCATGTTGACCTACCCATATTGGAAAGTAGTATAAATGTATTATACGGGTGAATGACGTCGGATACTTCAAGGGGGACCATGCAACTCGATCCAACTAGTATGCACGTATTAACAAATTTTAGTAACGCATTGAAAGGCTAGCCCACTGGATACATTAATTATTTGATTTCTAAGACCTACGTACTATTACTATTTAGGGCCTCTTTAGATCTATTAGCAACTACTCCCTCCATGCTAAAAAATAAAGTCGTTTTTGACAGCGACACGGTCTTCAAAGTATTACTTTGACTCCTTATTTTTTATAAAAATATTTATCAAAAATTGATATATGTATATTTTTATGAAAGCATTTTTCAAGACAAATCTATTTATATGGTTTTCACATTTTCAAACTCAACAACTTAAAAGTTATTCATGATTTATATTCCCAATATTTGACCCAAGTCTTATCCAAAACGATTTTATTTTTTAGTAGGGAGGGAGTAAGAGGTACTCCCTCCGTCCCAAAATAAAAGACGTTCTCGCTTCCCGAGAAATGACTGTCGGCAATTATATATTAAAATATATAAATATTTATGCTAAGTAATTAGTATCATCGAAAAGATCTTTTTGTCTAGTTTTTTAACAAATTTATTTGAAGTTATAAATAGTATTTTCTACAAATCGAGTCAAACTTGTGGCACGAAAACCCAAAACGTCTTTTATTTTGGGACAGAGGGAGTAGCTAGCTAATACTATTATTAGTTGCTACTATTTGCTACTTTGATTCAACTAGTAAAATAGTTGTTAGTAATGAGCTAAACTATTAGCTACACCTGTTTGGATCCAAAGAACTAACGGAAACGCTTAGACGTGGCGTCCATCCGGTCCGACGTGGCATCCCACTCCGCTTCGCCCGCCTCTCTCATAAAAAAACAAAATTCCCGACTCCGTCTCGCGTCATCTCGGCTTCACCGCGCCGTGGAGCCGTCCGCCCGCCTGCCCCACTCCACCGCACGCCTCTATCTCGGGCCGTGGTCCATTCCAGCGCGCCGCCGCCATCCCCCGCAGCACGCGGCCCCGTACACCTCGGCGCTTTCCCCCGCACAGAGGAGGAATCCTCCGCCAA